AACGTCCCGACTTGGTAGAGGCTAAGTATCACTACAGAAAAGCCACTACCTGCATAATAGTAGGCAAACCTGTAGTAAAACAGTAAAAGTCCATAAGGTCAATTGCATCTTGCAAGATAAATTAGACACATCAGGTCACGTTCAACCCTGCTGAAGCCAATGGGATGTAATTGAGGGCCAAATTTGGTTTACAGACTAACGGACAAAAAAATATAGAAACTACACTGTGCTATTCTTATGGAAATAATTGCAGAGGTTCTTACCTGGTCATTTCAGCTTCTATATCCAAACCTGGAATTGCTGGACAAGTAGAGCTACTATTCATCACAGCTAAAAGATTAATGGTAACAAAGAAAAATTTTCAGTTTTATTAGAACAGGCATAAAAGAAATCATGGCGGTTTAAGCCATAATCTTATGGGTGTTTTGTATGACACCACACTCCCTGCAATAGCTCTGTAGATTTAACTTTCATGGTGGCCATCATCCTTCCAGTGGAGGATCAAACAGGGCAAACTTCTGAGTCAGCTCAGAGGGTTACTGTAGAGTGATGTCATGGATTTAGCTCACTACGTCAATGGGCATTTGTCAGATCATAGCTTCATCTGATCTGATCTTCTGATTCCACCAGTGGCCAATATCTGATTTTTCAGAAGTTGATAACTCCCCCTTCTACCTCACATAAGACAAAATTCATCCATGCAGACACCATAACTCCGATTTTTATGTACTACTTAGGTTCCACCCAAGCATCAAAACTGGGCCCACATGGGGTCCAAGTGGTGGCTCAGCCTTTTGCTAGCTGTCTGCAAAAGGGTAAATTTCACTAATAATGCACCTAACCGAATGTGCAAAACTGTTCAGACCTGGGAGAAATAGGAGACCCCTTCCAGGTGTCAGCCCATATATTTTAGGCTAAGTTATGATTGCCCTTATCATAAGCTTAGCTCATATAAAGGCAAAATAGAATTAATTGTCCTATTTTGTTGTTTTAAAAATCCAGTCACAGAACTTGATTTGGTGACGTCCTGGGACAGTGAATTCCATGGATTAACTATAAGCTATAGAAAGTAGTAAATCATTTTATAGTTACCAAATGTACTGCTCTGTAATTTATCAAGTGTCTAGTTTGCTACTGTACTATACAGCAGGATAAAAAGGAGGGACTGCTCAGAATTCACTATGCTCTTCCTGGCTTTCAACACCACAGCAGCACTCCATCCTGAACCTCTGCCAATCCAGTAAATAAGAGACCCTAACAAATATTTTCAAAAGTTGAAAAAATTGTATTTACCTGAAGACATATTTACTGCTTGGCCAATCGTCACAAAGCTGTTTGTCATCTCTCCAAAGACAACGATTATAAGTGGCAGCCCTGTTCCAGTTGCAACAGCTGCAATCAAGCCTATTATCATCAAAATGATATCCAGCCAATCGGCATACCCAAACTACATGAATATAAAGAAAAAGGAATAAATTGAAGGTTGACAAATTCACATCATTGTGACAATATCTTACTAAGTCACACAGAATAGCATTTGTTTTTACATAGCATCATTTGCAATTGGGTATCCGAAAACACTTTGTGAAGCAATGAATTAGATACTGTGAAGGCAAACACAACACTTGAGATACACTTTGAAAAAGCTTACACACAGTTTTAGGCCAGTTTTTATTGAGGGAGGTTGGACCTGTTGGCAGGGTGAATCCCCTAAACTGCAGAAAAAAGAATGTATCTTACATTTTTCACAAAGTGATAACATCACCTGTGCAACTCACTGCCTT